TGAAATAAAGCCCATCAGCTTCCCTCAAAAGGAAATTGAATTTGCTGGGAGAACATTGCCACTGAGGCCCTTTGACATTATAATGGATCCATAGGCCTCCAGCAGGATTCTGCACAATCCCTTTCAGACTTACCTTCACCTGGTGATGTGGATCCCTCCCTCACTCCCCCAAGACACTTAACCTCTGTCTGCTTCAGCTTCCACTATGGCTCTATAACTATACCTAAATATAAAATGGGGATAATAACAGCACCTACCTTTCAGGGTCGTTGTGAGGATCAAATAAGATAATATTCATAAAGTGCGTAGCTCAGTGCCTGGCACATATTAGGTGCTAAATAAACGTATATTCCCTTCCCTTTCCCCGTCTCATCCTTGCCTCCCTGCTTCTGGTCTCTCTCCCTCCACCTCACCCTTCATAGACCCAGGATGCAAACATGCATTGGGCCGTTGGACACTCATCATTTTCCCCCAGGCCTGCACTCCCCTAATATGATTTATTAGATTTGCCTCAAGAGTAAGACACCGCTCAGTAATTCCGTGTGTGATCCTCTTCATTTCCCAAGGAACAAGCCCCCCCAACTTCATCAAGTTGATTGGGGAATTCTCCAAATTGATCAGGGACTTTCCTAATCAATCTGGCATGACACGTATGTACTTAACCTGGTTGCATCAAGTAAGAGTCAGAGGGCCTGGGTTTGAATCTCTTCTCTGCTACTAATGGACTGAATGTGAAACTGGGCAAGTCACTTCTCATCTTTCTGGGCCTCAGTTTCCTCATCAGGAAAATGAGGGATTGGGACCAGATGACCTCTGAGGTCAATCCCAGCTCTAGAGCTCGGATCCTATAGATTCCTCAAGTGTAACTTAAGCCTTTTGAAGACTGTGACTATTTTTCATTTTGTCATCGTTTTCTTATCTTTCCATTATGCCAGTGCTTAGCACGGTACTGGTCTTAAATGCAGTAGGCATCTAATAAATGCTCGTTGGCTTGGATTGCACTTGTTCAGGAATGGATTGGTCTAGATGGACTCTGAGATTCTGTGAATGCTTATGGAGACTCTGGTCTGTCCACATTCTATGTCTTGACAATCTCCCTTATTTTTTTCATTAAAATATTTTTAATTATTCTTTTAAGTATTTTCCCCACTTGACAGTATTTTATTTTTTCCAATTACCTGTAAATATGGCTTTCAACATTCCCTTTTATAAGATTTTGAGTTCCAAATTTTTTCTCCCTCCCTCCCCTCCCCAAGATGGCAAGCAATCTGACATAGGCTATATACGTACAATCATATTAAACATAATTCCACATTAGTCATGTCGTGAAAGAAGAATCAGAACAAAAGGGGAAAACCATGAGAAAGGAAGAAAAAGAGAGAGAGATGCCATAGTTTGGCATCTGAATCTGCATCCAGACTCCATAGTTCTTTTTCTGGATGTGGATAGCTTTTTCCATCATGAGACTTTTGGAGTTGTCTTAGATCCTTGTATTGCTGAGAAGGGCTAAGTCTACCAAAGTTGGCCATCACACAATGTTGCTCTTTTTTAAAAATTTATTTATTTTTAGTGTTCAACATTCACTTCCATAAGATTTTGAGTCTTGAATTTTCTTCCCCTCTCATTTCTCCCCCCGCCCCACAATGCTGTTCTTACTGTATACAACGTTCTCCTGGTTCTGCTCACTTCTCTCAGCATCAGTTCATTCAAGTCTTTCCAGGTTTTTCTGACATCTGCCTGTTCATCATTTCTTACGGAACGATAGTATACCATTCCATTCATACACCACAACTTATTCAGCCATTCCCCACTTAATGGGCATCCCCTCAATTTCCAATTCTTGGTCACCACAGAAAGAGCTGCTATAAGTATTTGTGTACATGTGGGTCCTTTGCCCTTTACAATCTCCCTTACTTTTAATTGCCCCATGTGTTGGGTGACACAGAGCTGTCGCCCAACCAGCTCCCGCCTCTCTCTATCCAGAGTTCCATTCCTATATGCTTTAACTATATCGTGTACAGCTCTGCTTGCTTACTGGTCCCTTCAATTATTGTCTCAGAACCAAATTCATCATTGACACCGTCCCCAAACAAATCCCAATTTAGCTCTTTGTCCCAACCTTCCTTGTTTCTATTCAAGGCACCACCATCCACTCAAGGTTGGCCCCTCCTCCTTCTTCACATCTCATTCATCACCAAGTCCTGCTGATTGCAACTCCATGACACTTCTCTTGAAAGAGAACAACGTGACATAGTAGGTAGAGTGCTAGACTTGGGAGTCAGAAAGACCTGGGTTCAGATCCTGCCTCTTGACACTTGCTACCTGTGTGACCCTAGGCCAGTCATTTAACTTTGTTGAGCTTCAGTTTCCTTCTATGTAAAATAAAGATAACATGCAATATTGGCTTCATAGGGCTACCTTGAGGATTAGTTGAGATAATGTATGGGGAGGTGCTACATAAGTGTAGGTTACTAGAGCATCGGGCCTTAAGTCAGGAAGACCTGAGTTCAAATTTGGTCTCAGATTAGGGGAAAGGATATTCAGAATGTACCTTGTCTTGGGGTTAGGGGAGGGATGAGATGGGGAGAAAATTTGAAACTCAAAATTTTGTGGAAGTAAATATTGAAAACTAAAAATAAATAAAATAATGAATCAAAAAAAATTTTTAAAAATAAAAAATAAAAAAATAAATTTAGTCTCAATTAGCTGTGTGACTCTGGGCAAGTCACTTTACCGCTGTCTGCCTCAGTTTCCTCATCTGTAAAATAGACAGTTAGGTGGCATACAGTGGACATTGTGCTGGGCCTAGAATCAGAAGACTCCTCTACCTCAGTTCAAATCAAGCCTCAGACACTTACTAGCTGTGTGACCCTGGGCAAGTCATTTCACCCTGTTTGCCTCAGTTTCCTCATCAGTAAAAATGAGCTGGAGAAGGAAAGGACAAACCACTCCAGTATCTTTTTTTTAAAGGCAATTGGGGTTAAGTGACTTGCCCAAGGTCACACAGCTAGTAAGTGTGTCAAGTGTTTGGTCTGAGGCCGGATTTAAACTCAGGTCCTCCTGACTTCAGGGCCGGTGCTCTATCCACTGTGCCACCTAACTGTCCCCAACTTCAGTATCTTTGCCAAGAAAACCCCAAATGGGGTCAGGAAGAGTTAGGCACAGCTGAGCAACCAAAAAAATGAGGATAATAATAGCACCTACCTCACAGAACTGTTGTGAGGTCAAATGAGATAATATTCTTTTTCAAAAAATTATTATTTTTTACATTCATTTAAACAATTTTTTAAAATTAAATTCTTTCACTCCCTCCAGTCCCTCCCTCACCATTGAGAAATAATAAAATATTCTTACAGTGCCCAGCATAGTGCCTGGTACATAGTATACATTTTATAAATGCCTTCTCCTTCTCATCCTCTCATCATGGACTACTGGCCTCCTTGTTTCTGATCTCTTTCTCTCTAAGCCATTCCTCATAGATCCAGAATTATTTTCTCAAAACATGTCCCTCTTCTGTTCAGACACCTTCAATAGCTCCCAATTGCCTTATTTAAACATTAAAAAAAAGTCCATACTTTTCCACTTGGCATTTGTCACCAACCCAGCTGTCCAACTTATCTCCCCTTGCCTCCCTTTGAGGAATCTCCCTATTCCAGTCAGACTGGTTTATTACCAGCCTCCCAAACAAGCTGTCCACCTCTAGACAATTTCCCCTTCCTCTTTCTCAGAACGTTCCTGCATTGCCTTCCCACATGCTCAGCCTATCCAAATCCCCATAGGGCCAAGTCAAATATTACCTCCTCTGCTGAGCCTTCCTTGATTTCCCCCTTCCTGAACTCCTACAGCCCATCTTCCAGTGAATCATATCCGGCATTATGACAGCTCATCCCTTGTTGTCTTGAGGTTATTTACATCTTGCCCTGTCATGTAATCTTGCCATGTGCGTGTGCAGGGTGCCAATGACGCTGTGGGTTTCTGAGGGCAGGGGAAAGATGATTGATTCATCATGCATCTCCCGTCCCTCTCTTATCTTCCTTCCCTGTACCTGCCTGTGCTCAATCTCAGAATCTCAGCTACAAGGAACCAACTAGTTTAACCCAGGCATGAGCATCAATCCCCCCTCTAGTATACCCAATATTGGGTCATCTAGCCAGTGAGGATCATCCCCTCTTCTTCCTGAAGCAGCTGATATACCCTTCCCCTTTGGATAAGAGAATTTATTGAATTTATTCACAGAACTTAGGGTATTCGGGATGGAAGGGACTAAAAGCCAACCACTTCATTTTACACAAGAGGAAATAATAATTGTCATTTATACAGTGCTTTAAAGTTGACAGACATAATATATATATATTATATAATTCGATCCTTTAGATAACCCTGTAGATAAAGACTGTGGATTTCATTATCTCCATTTTACAGATTGAGACTCTGAAAAGTTTAGTCCCTTGGACAATCACAAGCGGGGTTCAAATGCAAGGGCTTTGTGTTCTTTCCAAGGTCACAGAAACAGCAGCTTCATTCCCTCCTACTGCATGCACTGGGCTAAGGGAGAGGGGGTCAGCTTCAGTTTATTTTGCCACACGTAGTGAGGATGGCCAGATTGTCCTGGGTCCTGCTGACCCACTTTTGAGGCCTATGTTTTGGCAATGAGGATATCTCCCCCATGCAAGGGGACATAAAAACAAAATTAAGAGGGAGTCCGCACAGAGATATCATCAATGCTACAAAAAACAACCCTTACATGAGGGGGCATGTGTTTGGAGGAAGCACTGAATATAGATATTATATGTTACATAGATAGCATCAGCACCGGATCGAAGTCCTCTTCAGTGGGTCAACAAGCACCAAGGACAATAACGCTCGGGCACACACCCCTATTCCCCCCCCCGCCCCCCCGCATGCATCTTTCCAGGATGTGTGAGTCGGCCCAGAAACAAGGACACTCTGCCATGTCCTTCTGAAGTAGTAAGCAACTGTTGCCAAAGGAAACAGACGAATTCAAATTGAACCAGCCTTTATTTATTGACTACCTGCTTCGTGCCAGGACCCGTGCTGGGCATACGTGCTGGGCAGCCTAAGGCAAAAAACAAAAACAAAACAAAGAGCTGTCCTCAAGTAGCTCTCGCTGCCACTGAGTCACGGCACTGCGTTCGTTCGTGCCTGCGGGCTCTAGGTCATGCTTTTCATTTGGGTGTAATGGTGGTCCAAGAGTGGAAGCATCTGCCCACCCACTCATCCTCTCTCCAGCGGGCAAAGCCTCGGACACCCGAAGTCTTCCCTGCCCGGCAAATCCTGACAAAGCCTTGGGTGGAAAAGACTCGGGCTCCCGGAGGCTGGAGGTGACGGCGGGTGGAACAACGGACCTCCGAGGCCATCTAAGCCCAGGCTGTATGTGAACAGGAAGCCCCTGTAGAAAGCGTGAGACACTCGGTCAGCCTTTTCATGACAGGGAGCTCGTTACTTGCAGGGGCCAGCCCTTCCACTCGCGGCAGCTCTCCTAGCTCGGGGGCTGTTTCTCTCGTGGAACTGAAACCTTTGCACGTTCCACCAGGGTCTGCCCTCGGGGGCCAAGAGGAATTCTCGAGGACAGCTGGGGTCATGCCCCAACCCCCAGCCTTCTCCTCTCCAGGATGAACACGCCCAGTTCCTTCATAATAAATTCTTTAAAAAAAAAAAAAAGCTCGTCGGGTTGGATCGGCCTCGGGTCCTGCCCAGCTAAGCTGACCCACTTCCCTGTCTCGCCTCCCAGTTGCCACCCCCTATTCCCACCCTAGTCTTCACCTCCTACCCTAGCCCCGCCCTCACCAGTTCAGGGGGGGGGGGTGCGTGGACGTCACAAAAAAAACCCAAAACAAAACAAAACAACAAACCCAACCACACGGGGCCGCCACCGGCTCCAACGCCTACCCATCCCTGCAGCCCCCCTCCCTGCGTCCCCCAGCAGAGGCGTCTGGGGGTTGTAGTCCCGACTGGGGCGACTGCGGCCTGAGCCTGGGGGCGAAACCCAATCGCGGCTGAGGCGCGCCTGCGCGCTCGGCCCCCCTCTCCTCTCCCCCTTGGATAGGCCGGTCGGGAGGGGGGGGAACGGGCTCGCGGTAGCCGGCGGGGTGGCGCAGGCGCAGGCGCAGGCGCAGGCGCAGGCGCAAGCGTGGGCAAAGGCAGTCAGTCGGGCAAGAGGGCTAGACAGGCAGAGCGGGAGGGCGGGCAGGTAGACAGGCGGGCAGCCCGGCGCAGGCGTCCCAAAGCCGGCGGGCCGGAGCGGACCACAGTTCCCGGTGTGCCCCGCGCGGGCAGCGGCCTGAAGAGAAGGGGAAGGGGAAGGGGAAGCAGAAGGAAGAGGAGGCGGCTGCTGAGGGCGGGCTGAAGTGAGGGCGAGGCCAGGGGAGGAGAGGGCGGAGCGGGGGGCCGGGCCGGGCTGGGCTGGGCTTGGGGGGGAGCGGGGATCTAGAGCGAGTGGAGCGCTCGGGGGTTCAGGGCTCGGAGGCGGCGGCGGCTCCCGGCAGTGGCGGCGGCGGCTCCTCCTCCCCCCCTACCCAGAGCGTTCGGCCCGGCCCGTCACGCGAGCCCGGGGCGGCCGTGCGGCCTAGTTCCCCCGACGCGGCCCAGCCCGGTCCCTCGACCTCGGCCCCCGCCCCCGCCGCTGCCGCTGCCGCTGCCGCCGCCTCCCTTACCCCCGCTGCTGCCGCGGCCACTGCCTCCGTCTGCACCGCCATGGCCCGGCCGCTGGTGCCCAGCTCGCAGAAGGCGCTGCTCCTGGAGCTCAGGGGGCTGCAGGAGGAGCCGGTCGAGGGCTTCCGGGTGACCCTGGTGGACGAGGGCGACCTGTACAACTGGGAGGTGGCCATCTTCGGGCCCCCCAACACCTACTACGAGGGCGGCTACTTCAAGGTAAGGCGGAGAGCAGCCCGGCTTCTAACGTGGGGGCCCGGCCACCCCGTGGGGTTCCTTCGCCTGCCACCCCCCACTTCCGTGGTAGGCTCCCCATCTCCACCGCCACCCCCCGCCGTGGTAGATTCCCCGTCTCTTACCCCTTACCCTCCCACGGTAAGTTCCCCCATCTCTTACCCCCCCCCGTGGTAAGTTCCCCACGTCTTATTCTCCCCCCATTATAGATTCCCTATCTCTTCCCACCTGGTAGGTTCCCCATCTCTTACCCCTCCCGTGCTAAATTACCCCATCTATTACCTCTGCCCATCGATTGCCCATCTCTTATCCAGCTCCCATAATAGATTCCCCTTCTCTCTCCCCCAATATGGTAGGTTCCCCCATCTATTACATTCCATAGTAGATTTCCCATCTCTTATTCTTCCCCATGGAAGATTCCTCATCTCTTATTCTCCCCCATAGTAGATTCTCCATTCTCCCCTCCATGTAGGTTCCCCTGTCTCTTACTACCACCACCCCTCATGATAGATTTCCGCATATCTTACTTGCCCCATCTTTTACTCCTCTCCATGGTAGATTCTTCCATCTCTTACCCCCCCCCCATAGTGGATTTCCCATTTTATTTCTTACCTCACCCAATGGCAGGTGGTTCTGCCCCTACATAATTTCCCACCTTCTTTTACACACATCACCAATGATGATTGGTTTCCAATCTTTTATATTTCCTCCTCTCATGGTAGGTTCTTAACATTTCTTTCACATGAAGGGTTGATTGAATGTCTCTTCTCTCATATATACAACAGGATAGATTTTCTTCTCCTTTGCATATATGTAGAGTGGATTCTACAATACACATGCAGACACAGGCATGGCAGATTCTATTTCTCCCTTTCTCCTCTCCCACACACATGCAGGCTAGATCTTTCCCAACGATATGAACACACAGAGAGAGGATAAATTCTCCCACATTTACATGCATAAACATATAGCAGTTCTCACGTGATACATGTACTACTGTGGAGACACACATATATACTGCATTTACACAAGCATTGTGGTAGATTTTCCCATTTTACTGATGTTCATACAAAAGATTCCCCCACAGAAGAAAGGTGATAGTCTCCCCCCATATCCACACGACAGATTTTTCCCCAATATACATAGGCCCTCAGATACATGGTGTTCTCCAGCATACACGAGATAGATTGTCTGTACACACACAGGTGGTAGATTCTCCATACATACACAACACACATACATACCTAATAGACTCTCCCCATGTATACAACATGTACAATTAATGTTGTGTGTCTACCTCCCCCATACAATAGATTCTTCTGCATACATGTTAGTCTCACATATACACAAGCTAGATTCTCCATACATACAATAGATTTTCTTCTTAATGTCATACATAGAATAGATTTCTACATGCACACACAGATGATAGATTCTCATTTCTTATATACATGCATGATCTCTCATCTCTTACACAAGCACACAATAGATTCTGTTATCTCTTTCACACTTGCATGATATTTTCCCTTATATGCACATACAGAATAAATTTTCCTATCTCTTACACACATGCATGACAGATTCTCCCATCTTATATGCACACAGGATAGATCTCTCATCTCTTATACGCATGCACACACAGGCAAGATAGATATCTCCATCTCTTACATACAAACACACTCACTTGGGGTTGTCATCATTTCTTACACACAGCACAAGTACACAGAGAATAGGTTTTCCTATGTGTTATATACAAAGACTGGATTCTTCCATCATACATGTCCTAGAATTCTCCTATCTTTTATACACACACACACACACACACACACACACACACACACACACACACACAGAGTTCCTCTCTCTCTTAGACACACATCACGCTAAGTACCCCCATCTCTTATATAAATATGCTACATTCCCTTATCTTATGCACAGGCATACATTCCTATATATTCTTGGTTCACACAACAGATTTTCGTATCTTACATGAGTAGTTACCCTATCTTTTATATGGGCATGTGTGCACACACAAACATGACCCCATCCAGTAGAGGTGCCTCCTCCTCTTAGACACACCCCACAGCCATTTCCCAGGTTACTCTCTTCTTTACCACATACACACAACATACTTAGCTTTCCAACTCACTTCTTCTATAAGGTACTTTATTTTTATTATTCCCCCCCACCCCCCCCACCCAAAAAACAATTGTTCCCAGGTATAGTCTGAATTGCCTCTCTTACCTCCCCCTCCCCCACTTTAATTTTTTCCTTTCCTTTACCATATGTCCCCAGGACAAGTCCATTCATTTTTTTTCTTCTTACTCCTGAATCACTACCCCCACTTCTAATGACATTTTTTTTCCTGTCTTCTCTAACCCTAAAAGAAAAGGATACTCTTCTTTGTTCTCATTTAGGGGGTTGTGAGGCCCTCATGTAGGGCCTTTCATTAATTCTGGGTTTCTATTGCCCCACCTTGTTTCATGCTCCTTACCCTGTTTTCCCCTTTCCCATTCTTTTCCCCTCCCCAGAGGAAACAAAGAACCCTGGATATAGTAGCTCTCCACTCCCTCATGTGTCCTTTGGAGCTAGTGGAGTGCGAGTGCCCTATTGTTGGGGAACACAGGGTCTGGCTGGGGGAGGAGGCTGGTTTGGAGCTGAGTTGGAAGCAGGCTTTCTGTCTGCTTGCTGGACCCAGAAGACTGTTGTTACCTGGAGTCTTCCAACGAAAGCATGACAGGCTGCCCGGGCAAACCAGAAAACAACTGAGTAGCCACACTGGCATTTCAGAGATGGGGGTTCATCCTCCCCACACAAGCCAGCTCAGAAAAGGTGTCCCCTGTAGATGCAGCCCAGAGAGCAACTCAGTAACCTCTCAAGCCCCATGGGGGCAAAGAAGCTCATGTCACTTCCTGGCCAGGACCTTGTGGCTCCTTTAGCTCCTGCAAGGCCTGTGCAGAGATCTGCTGCTTCATTGGCCCCCTTAAAAATGGAACCAGACAGACTCCACTTGGGAAGGTTTGCTTTTCCTTGGATTCTTTGATAAGGATTTTAACATCCTGGGCTTTTACAAAGAAAAGTAAGGGCTTATACTTGCCCCCTAAAATAGACTTCCCATTTTCCCTCTGTTCCTCCTGAGGCCAGCAAATTCAGTTTAGTAAATGTTTGTTCTTGAGCAGTTACTCCAGAGGCCTGAGCTTTGGGGTTTCAGCAACCTTAATAATTTTTTTTCCTGTTCTTATGGGCAATACTTTGTCACCAGGAATGTTATAATTCCAAATGGTTTAAGTTTTATTCAGTCTGGTTCTATTCTGTCCCATTGTGCCCCTCCCCCCCAAAAAATGGGCTGGGGTGGGGGCTGGTGACAGGAAGATATCTGGATGAAAACTGGAGTAGGATTACCAGACAAGAGGTCAGCCCTGGTTCCATGGGCCAAGTCCAGAACCATGTATTAAAACATCTTTCTCTGAGCATGGACAGACTTTCAGACCCTAGTCTTGGTTGCAGAGCTGCTTCCCTTCCCCCTCAGCTCCAAGACATCCTGGTTTTGCCTTGGCCCAGAGTGCAGGTTGAAGCTGTGACTGAGCTGGATCAACTGGGAGAAACCACAAGAGATCAATGAGGCTGTTCTGGGGGTGGCAGGCAAGGGGAAAGCTGGTGCTGGCAAGGCAGATGTCTGTGTTTGCATTATTGTGCTAATCTTTTAACGGCTATTACCCAATGGGCCAGGGGCCCAGCTGCCAGTTTTGTAAAGGGTGTAATTCCAGAAGTCTCACATGCCAGTGTGATTGATGTTTGTTTTTGGTTTGAGGTGAGGCCTAAAGGACCTAGGGTGGGACTCAGGATGTGAACTCTGGGATGCAGACCTGGACTTGGTCTTTCAGCCTGGACCTGATTTTTTCATCTTTCCATTGAAGAGGGAATTGTTATTGGGGAATGGGACCAGCATTTCTGCTGAAAAGCTTGTCCTCTTTAGAGATGGTGAACTGCTTAACCCTTTTCTGAGAAAGCTATTTTTCCTTGCCAGGAAGCATCTGGATGTGTGGCATAACTAGAGCCAGCTCTACCTTTGATCTAGTGAATAACCCAGAATCCCACCTGTGGCCTTTGCTGACGTCTCTCTATCTGTAGTTTCATAGAATAATCTATTAGACACTGCCTCCTGGATCAGTTCCATGGATTTCATACAAGTTCATAGACTGCGTTGGAAAAGACACCTTAAAAAAGCATGTAGTCTATCCCCTTCATTTTACAGAGAAAGGAGAAAAGACCTAGAGAGAGAATCATAGACGTAGTTCACATATAGTTCAGTGTGACCATGAGTCATGTTCAAATCAACTCTGCCATTGTTCCTGGATGGGTGTGTCCTATACCCTCGTTCACTATCCATGTAACTTTTTGGACCAAAGTATTCCTCTCTGGACATTGATTCCCCTATGTATATTGCCTTCTCCATTAGAATGTAATCTCCTTGAGGATAGGAACTGTCTGTTTTTCTCTTTGTGTCTCCATGACTCTGTGAACTATTTGGCACAAAATAAGCATTTAAGAATTAAGTGCAGATTTTCCATTCATTCCTTCATGTTCATATACAGGAATGCCCTATATATGGAGGGCATAAGAATGGTATAAACCATGCCAGATGAAAGGTCTTCCAGCCTTTGCTTGAGAAGGGACTTGTCCAGGGTCACATTCCTTTTTGTTCTTGGGAAATTCTCCCATTCCGTTTGGGGGTAGGTCACCAATTTTCTGCTGAATCCTGATTAGAATGGATCTGCTAGGAGGTCTCAATCAGGATAGCTTAAGACCT